CAAACTCTTTATTTTATCCACCAGGGTAGCTTATTCTAGTTCCACGTACGATGCCTCTTCTGAATGTCTCCATTATTTCCCTTTAACTCAACTCTCCAAGTCCTTTGGTTCACTACCGCTGTGGCCTGGTATTAAACTCACAACTCTTTGGGTCTAGTCACTGGATCTAACCAACGTCTTTATCCACTGGGCCACATGACCTTGATGACCTCTGGGGATGAATTTTTGGGACTTATAAACCTAATGTCTCAGCAACCATTTTTTTTACCAGTGCTCATATTGGATTTTTTTTGTTGTTATTCATTGCTTCTCTTTAGCACTCCTTATTGTATTTATTTCTATGTTTGTCAGCTCAGGAGATTTTTGTGGCCTAGTATATGGGAATATATTTTTTGCTATTATGACTAATATTATGTTTTTCATCTGTTCCATGAGACACTCATAAATTTAAGCTTTCATCACATGAATAAGGAAATCTGACTCACTCGGCACCTGTCCTTGCACTAGACACCTGCTGTTACTAGTACCTGTCCTTGCACTAGACACCTGCTGTTACTAGTACCTGTCCTTGCACTAGACACCTGCTGTTACTAGTACCTGTCCTTGCACTAGACACCTGCTGTTACTAGTACCTGTCCTTGCACTAGACACCTGCTGTTACTAGTACCTGTCCTTGCACTAGACACCTGCTGTTACTAGTACCTGTCCTTGCACTAGACACCTGCTGTTACTAGTACCTGTCCTTGCACTAGACACCTGCTGTTACTAGTACCTGTCCTTGCACTAGACACCTGCTGTTACTAGTACCTGTCCTTGCACTAGACACCTGCTGTTACTAGTACCTGTCCTTGCACTAGACACCTGCTGTTACTAGTATCTGTCCTTGCACTAGACACCTGCTGTTACTAGTACCTGTCCTTGCACTAGACACCTGCTGTTACTAGTACCTGTCCTTGCACTAGACACCTGCTGTTAGTATTTTATTATCAAAATGCACCTAAGTAATCATTAAAGAATTCTCATTGAATTCTATATTTTCTAATGCTATTTTATTGTTGTATATTTTTAATTTAAAAAGTTTAGTTTCCTCTCAGCAGATATTAGTCATAGTGTAATCATAATTAATTTCAAATGACTAAAATTGAAAATAAACAGTATTTAAAAAATCGTTTTTAAGTACACAATCAATTTTTATTTTTTTTAAAAACATTATGCCGTTTTCTTGCAATGTAAAGGGAAAATTAAAACTTCAGAAAATTTTTGCACCAATAGGTTGTGTCAATTCCCGGCCGTTATGCCTTGAGTATAGACATGTAGTGCATGCTTATCGGATTTTCATTTTCATGCAAGAATATTCAACAGGTATTTTGGTATGCATGGAAATTGCATGGTTTTCATATTGGGGGAGAGCTGGAAGTCACATGGTGCCAAGTCGGAAGAGTAGGGAGTTTGTTAAACAAGTGGTGTATTGTTCTTGATCAAGAAAGCTTGGTGCAATATCTCTGCTTGACACTTTTGGTCATCTTGCAGGAAAACAAAAATCTGACTAGTGCACACTATACATCTGTACTCTAGGTGTACAGCCAGGAACTAACACTGCCTACTGGTGCAAAAAGTTTCATGCATGCACAGGAAAGGTGGCATCACCTCCCACCCAAAGGTGGCCTACACAGCATTAGTTTTGACAGGAAAAATTAATCTAATACATTTTGATTGCACCTCATATATGAATATATTTTGGGGATTATGCATCTAAAATATGAAAGTATAGACATTCCATGTCTATTAAATTTAACCACTGTCTTTTCTAAATTGCAAATAATCTTCTGCAATCCTGGTTGTTGTAGATGCAAAAAATATCCAAAATAAAGGCAGTGTCTGAGCTTTCAACTCATATGTGTCATAATCAGGAGTGTGTACAAATAAAGTGAAAAAAATCAAAAATAGTTTAAATGGTACATTTTACAGTCATTATATTTTAAAATTGAATAAATCAAACAATGCATTAATAAAAAATTAATTATAGTCTCCAAATCCACATTCTCCAATGCATATAAAAAACATTATCACAAGTCTCATAGACTATACCATTGCACATAACTGAAAAGACTTCCTGGCATACAGTCACATCACATTGAGACACCCATTCCCATACAATCACTGAAGTTAAGCAATGTCAAGTATGGTCAGAACCTAATAGGTGACCATTTGTAAATACCAGTTGGATAATGGCTCAGAATTTTTAATCAGAGAGCTGAGTTCCAATTTCAGTTGGGTTCATTATATTATATGCAAATACTCTTGGGAAAGGTATGAATCCACCTTTTCTCCCCCAGCTATGAGTTAATCAGTAAAACGTGTATCACTAAACTATTATTATCTCAGAGAAAATTCTTACAATCTAAAAATATTTTCTGGCTTTATATAACCTGCAAAGGATTGAAAAGCCATAAAAAATGAATGACTCTATCAAATGAAAAGAATTTCTGCATTTGATTTATCTAGTTCAATTTAAAAAGATAACAATTTAATAATTAAAATACTTTTAATTTCTTGCACCATAGTTTAATTGTACACACCCCTGATGATGACTTATATAAGTTGAAAGCTTGAACACAAATTTGATTCAACAGCCAGAAGATTATTCGCAAGTTAGAAAAGAAGAGGCTTAAATTTAATAGACATAAAATGTCTCTACTTTTCATTAAAACATGTTTATGTGAACAGTTGCTACTTAATTACAGCAAAATAGGAAAGATATATCTGGTCTACATTCTTGTAAATATGAAAAAAATCTAGTGTGACATGTGCATTATAAAGTTGCACTGGCTCATCTAATTGCATTTTTTATTTTACAATTCAGAGCAGATTTTTGATGAAATGGGTAACTGTTTAAAAAAAAAGAAAAAATAATTGATGATTTATCTCCAAAGAATCCTGTCTTTACTAATAAAAAAAATCACGCCACCCTTAAAAATTTAATTTCTTGAAATTTCATGAAATTATGTAAGTGGGTAAAAAAAAAAAAAAAATGTATTTTTTACCAAGATTTTTTAAAAAGAAAAAATTTCAAAAATAATTTCATTCATTTATGCATATGTCCTGAAGGTTTCATTAAAATCTGGCAATTATTTGAATTTTGCAAGAATTTCCAAATCAATGTGTTCTTCCTTGGAAAAAGTGCAAAATAAAACAAAGTTTTTTTTCTCTAGTTCACTGCTTTCATAAAAAAAAAAGATTTTTAACCAAAATTTTGAACATGCTAGAAAGTAGTAAAAAATGTTAAAAAGTAAAAAAAAATACTTTGGTCTTTCCTCTTAACAAACATTTTGATGACAAAACTTTTGTATTGAGTTTGGGGCCTTTTTTCATCATGCTATGCTGTTTTTTTACACAACTTAGTGGAGGTACCTAATCTAATAACACAACTGTTTTATTAATGGTAACAACTTATTTCAATGTAGCATTGGTTTAAATAACAGGGCCCAATGTAAAGCAGGCTACAAAATATGCCCAGTCTACCACTGATGGCCATAAGTGAATTTGTATATCGAGCACTTCACATTAACTGAGAAGCTCGAGCTGTGGTTCTAGATATCTCTAAAGAGTTTAATAGGGTTTGGCATTGCTGGCCTTCTTTGTAAGCTTCATGGATACGGCATTACAAGATGATTATTTGACTTAATACAGTCATTCCTGTCAAACCATGAAATGAAGGTCATCCTAAATGGGTTCTCCTCCAGTTCCTTTCATACAAATGCTGGTGTTCCCCAAGGCTCTATCCTGGGTCCTACACTGTTTCTGATCTTCATCAACAATCTTCTTGATGTCATCAGTTCCCAAGTAGGCATCTACACAGATGACACTACTATTCACTCCTGCCTCAATAGTAAATCCAGTATTGCTGACAAAACTAATCTGGCCATTGGTCTCAAAAAGAACCTCCAATCTGTAGTTGACTAGGGCAGGAAATGGCTTGTAATGTCTCCAATACGAAACTGCTCTCATTTACCCACCATAGAGAAGCCTCCCTGCCTCCTATTAAAATGGCTGATGCCCAACTCCACAAGAGCATCTCTCTGTGCCTACTTGGTCTCACACTTTCCACTGACCTGAGGTGGAACAACTACATTGGATCAATAGCCTCATCTACCAGAAGGAAAGTTGGTTCTCTCTGTCACACCAGAAGGTTTTTCTCACCTGAATCCTTCCTTCAAATCTACAAATCAACCATTCATCCTTGCATTAAATACTGCTGCCATATATGGTCTGGTAACCCCTGTGTTCATCTCAAAGTCCTCAACAAAATCCAGAGGTAGATATGCAATGTGATAGGTCCTGATCTGGCATCTCGTCTGCTGTCACTTTCTCACAGACATGATGGACAAGTATTTTAATGGAACGTGCTCTGACAAGCTACTTTCACTTGTACCCAAACTGCATGAATTTAAGCATGCTACTAGGTTGGCATTTCGGTTCCATACTTTCACTGTTAAAACTGTTAAATGTAGCCATCTCTTCTACTCCAACAGCTTATCTCGCACTTCCTGTCAGTGGAACTCCCTTCCTCTTACTTGTTTCTTTGATAGCTATAATCTTCAAATATTCAAATGTAATGTCAATCGACATTTTCTGATGCCTTGATCTTAATCTCCATCCTTCCCTTTATCCTTTCCCCAAACACCCCTCTTTACTCTTCTCTTGCTCTCACTCTCTGTAACCCCCTTGCATGCTAATGGTACTCCAACCTTGCTTGGGTGATATGCTTAAAAAACAAATATTAGTAAAAATTAATCCAAAAAGAAATGCAAAAATATCAGTTGGGCTTCAATGATGATTAATTATGGAAAAGTCTCTGGTCATTTTTGACAGGCAGAGGAGGAGATTAAGTTTTTCTGATGTCTACACTTGGAAATTATTCCAGACTTTTTTAGTCAGTCATCTATCATTTAGGGAACTCTTTTCTTCCAGGGACCTTTTTGACTCTGCTTTGCATGCAAATGCTTTTCTTAAAGTTTTCCATACCATTTCAGAATATTCCTGCCTTTGTCCTACAACTCCCACAAATATGTAAAATGTTCACATGCACACATTTTTTCTGTTTTGTTGTACTCTATGATTTATCAAAAGGAAACAGAACCTGAAAGAATTCCTTAAAAAAAAAAAAAATAGATCATATTGCATTCTTTATTCCAGCTCCATAAAACATAATTAAAATGTTGAATAACACAAAAATGGTTTTTCATAGATTTTCATTTTTTCCACCCTTTAATTTGCAATAAATCAGTATTTCTTTCAAAAACTAAGTCTTTTTCTTTCCTTTTCTCAGCATTTGGTAATGCCAAAACTGCCAGGAATGACAACTCTTCAAGATTTGTAAGTTTTATTTATTTTTTGTTTTTCTCCTTTTTTTAATGTCACTTGTAACAGCCATTATCACTGGCGATTTTGATTTGTGTTCTTTTCAAATAGCCTTTAAATACTAGTCTCTACAGCCAAGTAATTTTTCAAGATTCTTGTCTTATGCTAAAACCATAACAGATCAACTGGAAGCATCAGTAGTTGACTGTATGCTTATCTTTATATCAAAAATAGATTAGATATCTAATGTTGCTTCTATAGTATGCTATTTCCAAATGTTTATCCAACTGAATCTGAATTTCCAGCTAAAAGTCTTCAATTCTTGTTACTGTTTGACTGCCTTACTGCCTTAGAAAGCAATGTTTCTATTTGTTCTATTATCAATTCAACTAAGACATTTGTCTGCTTTTAGCACTGATACAACTTCCTGAAATTTTCATTGCTGGCATTTTGTGGATAGATTTTAGTTTATTTTGTATGCCAAAATGTTAGTAATTATCAGTAAGATGACTATGAATTTAATTGTTGCCAAATAAAGACTCTTATGTATATGTAACCATCAGTTGGGAGGTGCTTTCTTTATAAATGGAAATTGGTCTTTCAAATCGGCAAACACATATGCAAGGAAATTTCAAACTAGTTTGAAACAAAGGAAGTGGAAAAGAAGAATGTCTTCCTCAAAATCTTTAACTCTTGAAATCTATTTTGCTTCTGATCAAAAACTTTTTCTCCTTTTAATAAAGGTTTTTTAAATGAAATGCTCAGACTGATTTTATTTTCATATTCTATAGAAAAAAAGTAGTATATCACAATTGGTCAGAAATATTGTGCTTTTCAATTACTAGAGCTATTAACAACTCTTAATAAATTGTACTTAATTAAAATTGTAATCCACCATCAATCTTTGGTTATAGTGTCATATAGAGCCAAATTTAGTAAATTTTGACAAAAAGGGATTTTTTCTAGGATAATTATTTGGATTAAGAAAAATTATAGAAAAGATAATATTTTGTATTTTTGGAAAGAATTTAAGTTTCAACCTAAATATATTTGATCAAATATGACCTATGAAAATAGAATAAGAATGGAGAGATAAGTGCTTTCTTGTTTTGTTCATTTTGTTTTATTTCCAGGAAATCACAGGAATAAATGGTGCATTTGTAGATCTGGGCAGTATATCAGCTTTATAATATATATAGGCACATGCCTTCTTTCTTTGGAATGAATTTGGAAAATGATAGATAATTACTGTAATGATTACTAAATAATCAAAGATTCTCAGAGTAAAAAGATCCATTATCTTTGCATTTGTTGATAATGAATCCATTTAATTGCTCTTTGGCTGATGCAAAGGAAACAATGTCGTCTGCCATGAAATATTTGGCTGTCTGCCAATTCTGTCATTTCAATGATTGTTTCTATGAAAGTAATCAAAGAATTCTTTAAATGAGAAAAACAAGTTGGACAGGAGCGATAACATAGAATTGCCACAAATTTCTTTTGTCGATTATCATGCCAAACTGACGACTTTCTGTGGTGCCATTTCATTTTTGACAGGAATATGTTAGATTGATAGTGATCGTTTTTTACCAATCTGTCTGTAAGTTTCATTGGTGGTCATTTACATGTTATTTATGATTGGTTAGTTTCTGTTAGTCATGTCAATAAACTATTCTGTGATGTATTTTATATGTCATACAAGAGATCTTGATATGGCCTTATGAGAAAGTGCTGAAAAATCCTTGCTATGACCAGGAAAGAATTCCTCTCAAAATCTGATATATGGTTAGATTTTGGGAAGTGGGTTGGGCTAAGAAATTTTCAGTTTCCCTGATAAAAAAAGTGGATTATGAACAAAGTAAAAATTTAAAAAGAAAATGAAAGATAATGTCTGATCAAAAAATCACAAAAACTTTTCAAAACTTAACCTCCCTTTAGTTCCATAGAAAATTTCTTTTTTTCTTGTTTAAGAAATTTCAATTTCATTGACTTTAAAAAGTTGTAATAATAATGAAGCTCTTGTTGACTTTAAAATTATAATCAAAACACAGCATTTTCCAAGAGGTGAAGAAAAGGTTTCTTTTTGTTTTTTATAGAATGTTTTTCTCATGCCTTTATTTAAATTTAGACCATAAAATTAAGACAGATGAGAATATCAAGAAGTGGGGCTCCCAAGAGAATTGTCATTTTACTGTAGATTATTAAAATAAAAATATATTGAATAGAAAAGAACGGATGGTCATAAAATTGCTTTCATATGACAATTCTATAAAAAAAAAACTATGATCATTTCCTAGAATCTATTTAAATAATTGGTCTTAACAGTTCAATTAAGAACAGATCAGAAAATGATTTTATGAATGATATCCTGAGTTAATTAAAATCATTAGGTATTTTTTTATAGAATATAGCACCACAGAAAGTTGTCAGTGTGGCATGATAATCGAAAAAAGAAATTTGTGGCAATTCTATGTTATTGCTTCTGTCCAACTTGTTTTTTATCATTTAAAGAATTCTTTGATAGAAACAATCATTGAAATGACAGAATTGGCAGACAGCCAAATATTTCATGGCAGACGACATTGTTTCCTTTGCATCAGCCAAAGAGCAATTAAATGGATTCATTATCAACAAATGCAAAGATAATGGATCTTTTTACTCTGAGAATCTTTGATTATTTAGTAATCATTACAGTAATTATCTATCATTTTTCAAATTCATTCCAAAGAAAGAAGGCATGTGCCTTTATTTATTTATATATATATATATATATATATATATATATATATATATATATATATATATATATATTGTGCATATTTAGGCAGCAATTTTTCATTGATGCATGTTTCATTAAATAATATACACAAGTTTTGTCTGTTTATTTTAAGTAAGTTGCTTTCATATTGTCTGATAAGCTTAATAACATTATCATTGAAAGACGAAAGGAAATCACCATATTGATACATGTTTAAATCCAATCTAAGCTTTCATTATCAAAGATGCCAATTACTTTTCAATACATCAACCAATACATGGACGAAACAATAATGAAAAATTTCAAACCAACGACTAAATACTTAAAATAAATAGAAAAAATTTGTCTATATTATTTAATGAAACATGCATCTATATATATATATATATATATATATATATATATATAATCTTTTCTATAATTTTTCTTAATTCAAATAATTAGAAAAAATCCCTTTTTGCCAAAATTTACTAAATTTGACTCTATATGGTACTATAACCAAAGGTTGATGGTTGACAATTTAAGAGGTGTTAATAGCACTAGTAAATGAAAAGCACAATATTTCTGACCAATTGTGACATACTAGTAAAATCCATAGAATTTATAAGATGTATGTCAGTTAAGAAAAAAAAGTTTTACATAATTTGGAAAATAAATAAATGAAAAGTCCAAAACTTGTGTAGATTAAAATCTACTAATGTAGAAACTAGTTTTCAGATGTCAACCTGTTGATAGTTTTGTAAGTGGACTAATGGTCATTTAAGTTTTTGGTATGGGATTTAGTTTAAACAAATGGAAAGAGAAGAGATATGGCTTTTTTTGAGTTGGAAATTGCCTAAATTCACTGCCAAAGAGAGGGATGTATTGTATTAAGCCACACTTTATTTTGGGACTGACAACAAATAAAAATAATACTTTTAGTACAATTAAGATATTTATTTACATGAAATACAATGGTTAAAACATAAACACTATGTCTTTTCCTATATAGAGAGAATATGTTAAGTGAATTTACCCATTTGGTGAGTGAAATAGGGCTAGGTAGCTTGTACCTTTAAAACCTGCGGCAACTGGTACCATTGGCAGCGGAGGTAATTTTTTCCATGTTACCTCAGAGCAGGTCCAGTCCCTTCTCTGGTGGTGGTCAGCCCTTTTCCTCACCCATGTGTTTTTATTAACCAATGAGAGACTGACCAACATCATGTGACCAATCTCTTTATATAGGAGCAAACGAACTTTGCAAATCTAACAGGTAACCCCACCCAAGATGTTGAGCATATGAAAAATGAAATACATTACAAGTAAATTGAAAAGTTCATTTTAAAATGTAACACAAGTTTCTGACAGACAAAATATATCAATAGGATATGACAAAGCCTGTAAATTGAGATTGAAAGGAAGGGAAAACTGTTAAATATAAAAGATGCTTGGGATACTGAACACGATGACCAGATCTGTTTTGGGAATTTAGTAACAATTGGGAGTGGTAGTGTTATTTGTGGGCTCACATTGAGCTATGTAGTATCCAGAAAAGCAGGTTTCAACCTATCCAAAGAAATGTTCTATGCAGAATTCTTAATGAATTTGGTGAAATATTTTTTGTCTTTCAAGGATATTGAAAGGTCCTCTTGCAAGGTGCTTGTAGGGAATGTGTCCTAGCAGAGTCACGCACAAAAATTTGTGTACATATTTCAAACAGTTTTGAAATATATGTCATTTTATTAAACTGTGCAAGAGGGTTGTAAGCCAAGTTTGTCATCTTGGTTTGGTTTGCTTTACGGCATATCAACCTCAATGGGTTATTTAATGCCGACAAATTTTTTTTATTGCTGGCAATGTTTTTCTTCAAAAATATATTTCTGGGAATATTTTTCCCTGAAGAAATTTATAGCTGGTCATATTTTTTTCAAAGAATGTATAGCTGTTTGTATTGCTGGTATGTTTCTTTTAAAGTATTGCTGATAATAATTTTTCCTTCAAAAATTATTACTGGTAATAATTTTTTTTTATTATAAAGTATTTCTGGTATTAAAACCTATTTTTACATAAGTTTAGGTATTAACTATTTGCCCATAGCTGGGACCCTAACAGGTGCTACTATCCCGGGCCAGAGTGAACCTGGGAACACCAGCAATTAAGAGGTGGTTCCACGCTCCTCAAACCCTCCTGATCAGAGGCCTTGCTACTAGATGTAGTTTAACGTCTTACCAAGGATGCGGATGTAGTTTACCATCATACCCAAGACAGGTTTGTCATT